TCTCTTGACATCAACGATCACTTCTTTGTAGAATGGTGAGATCCTGGTAGTGAATCCGCAATACAGCTCACGGAGGATCCTGATGTATTGGGCTTGAATGCCCTGATTGGCTAGGGCTTCAATGACTGCTTCCGTCTCAACAGAATCAAAGGCCTTCTTTAAATCAATGAACGTTAAACAGAGCGGCATCTTGAACTCCCGAGAAACCTCAATGAGCTTGGTTAACGTGTGGATATGGTCGATGGTGCTGAATCCTTTGCGGAACCCTGCTTGCTCTCATGGTTGTCCTTCATCTAGTGTTCTGCCAATCCTGTTTAGGATGACTCGAGTGAACAACTTGTAGATGACAGACAATAGGCAGATCGGGCGATAGTTGCCAATGTCATGGATGTCTCCCTTCTTGAACAGTAGTACAGTCCTGCTGGTTTTCCATTGGGACGGAACCTTGCATTCAGACAGGTAGCGAGTGAAGAGCTGAGCCAGTGTATTGATGAGTACTGACGGCAGGTTCTTCAGGTGTTCAGGTCTGACCTTGTCTGGGCCGGGTGTTGTTTGTTTCTTTACCGACGAAATGGCGTGTCGGATTTGGGAAGGGAGAACATTGGGAACGACATATCCATCCTGTGGAATTTGGTATGTCGACAAGTGGACACTACTTCCACTACCGAGCCGTCGCCACACTCCAGGATGCTTTCCGGACCCACGCGGCCGCAAGCGGCCGCGCTACACATCATAAGACACTAAATACTCATCTTCTGGAATTGTCGTACCATATTTGATAGGGTTCAAATATGGTAACACCTACAAGGGTGATTAGAGGTCACCCCAAAAGCCTCTATCCCTCTCGGAAAGACTGGCAAGCTACCGAGAGTATTCCGCCCGCACGGAAGAGCCTGGCAAGCTATCCGCTGTGTATTCGATATGCCAAAACCAGTAACTACAACTGTTCTCATTCACCTCATAAAATGCTTATTCATTTTTAAACATATCTTTAGTGAGGCACCATGACTTACAAAATTATTCATAGTTGAATCTCAAATATACAATTTATCAATACATGTCCCAACACCAATGTCAACTTTGCTCTACCAGTGACCTCAGTTTCCCTCTAGTCCCCCAGCCTGCTTCCTTGACAGTCACATTTTTGGGGGGGGTCACACCTGGCGATGCAAGGGGTTACTCCTGGCTCTGCACTCAGGAGTTACTCCTGGTGGTGCTCAGGGGACTATATGGGATGCTGGGAATTGAACCCGGGTCGGCCACTGCAAGGCAAACGCCCTACGCACTGTGCTATCTCTCCAGCCCCGACAGGCACATTTTTAAGTTTGGTGATTAGAGTTTGAATCTTATGCTTTCAGTTGTGTTGTTTCTATTGTTCAAATATATAGAGTTTAACACCTCTGCCTCACTAGTGTATTCCGGCCCTTGCCCCCTCTTCCTGTTTCCTTCTCTTCATCTCTTTTTATTCCCCCCACTCTTATATATATTTTATATCCCAATCCTCAGTTTTATATCCAGGACAAGGGAAAGCAAGGCATCAAAGGGGCAATACCCAGATTATCCTGGGACCTGGAATATAGAACAGAGTGTCCATTCTTGATTTCAATAAGACAATTAGCCTAGAAGCATTATTTTTAGCATGACTTTGAAGTTTGCCTTTCAAGCTATACCTATACTAATGACCCAAAATAGTTAGACTAACTAGTCACAAACACAGCTTTGGAGATATTTCAAAGAATATTTAATATGTATGTATAGTTATGTTTTATTTAAAATGTGGATATGAATAGAGATGCATTCCTTCTAAAATTATAAAAGAGGCAAACATTTTAATAGAATTTGGTCAGCAGAGCACCTGAATGTGGTTTATGAGGCAAAGAGGCTGTAGAGTAGAAGGACAATAAACTCAGGTCATCTGTAATCTTTCCATGTCCACAGGCCTGGGATCATCACTTCAACTCTGAGTCTCATCGCAGTTTACTTGTCTGTGAAGTGAGGAAGACATCCACAGGACTCAAAATTTTCTCTGTTCACACCTTCTTCTCCCTCATATTACTCAGGAGGATATGTCCTCTTCCAAGGCTAACATCTCTATTCTTGTTTCTGGTTCATTCTGCTCCCAACTGTCTTGTAGGCAATATTCTGGGTGTTTTTTGTTTGTTTGTTTGTTTGTTTGTTTTCTCAAAATCTCACAGTCTCTGCTTTCACTGTCTTCTTCCTCTGAGATGTAAAACTAAACTGACATCTCTTTTGTTCTAAAACAATTTTCTGCCTCTGGTCAAACTATCCCTATTATTTTCTCTTTTTCTTGTCAAATTTGAAAGAATCATTTAAACCTCTTTCCACTCCTTATCCATGCTTTAACTCTCTGTGGTCTGTATTCTGCCCAGTCCCCCACACAAAAACTTATTCCACAAAATCTATTGTCATGGAGGACACTGCTGAGAACCAGAAGTTTTTTCTCCCAGTTATCATCCTATTTGATTGATTCTTATCCCATGAATAATTCTGACTCATCTTTCACTTTGGAAATGGTGTTTTGTTTTCAAAACACTACATTCCCCAAGTTCTTGATAGACTTTCTTGTCGGTATATATTTTTTCCTTGTCAGTATTTCTTGAGCCTACTCAATTATCAATTCTTTTAACTTTTTCCATTGTTGCCATTTCTAATCTCAAGATTTTAAATTTAATACTTTTATATGGAGCTCCATTCCACTGATAACTAATTGAACAGTGAATTTGTTAATGTTTGCCTAAATTCCCCTTGGATAGGCTCCCTTTCAAGAGCTAGTGCCAGATTTGCACATTTTTCCAGTGAAACTCGCATGCTTTCTTTAGAAGTTCATGGTAGAGTCATATTGGTAAAAGTCCTAGACTTTCTGAACAAAATCACCTTGAAAGGCATATTTTAAAGTTTGGCCTTTTTATTAATCCACAACCTATCAACCAAGGTTTTTAAAAAACTGTTCCCTTGACTCATTGAATGCATTAGTCCATTTTCATTGACAGTTTGAAAGCATTATAGCACTGAACAAAATGTTTCGGTAACTATTTTCCCTAATTATCTAATATTCTGATATTTTCATGGAAAGTTGGCTAAAATGCACTTTGAATTTAAAACATGCTTAAATGTGTCTTGAAATCTGGTGATTATTTTTCTTAAAATATTGACTGAACATTAAGATTATACGCAAACCTGACGAAGTGATGTGGAATCTAGTGCCTTCTCTTATAAAAAAAAATTTAGAAAGAAGTGAAATGACTTTACCTGAAGAAATACAAATAACAATATTAGAAAAACTATGCATTTACTCATCTTTTAATTATCTGCCTTTCAAGGTGGCAGGGTCAGGGCGGGGTGGGATGGATGGTGGGGTAAGGAAAGAACAAAAACACTTGTGGAGAAAAGTTGATGCTGATGGTCAGAATGGTATAGAACATTATATATATATATATATTATTCAACTATCAATAACTTGTAAATTATAGTTCTTTAATAAAATTTAAACTTCTTTTGAAAAAATGCAAAGACTAATGGCAAACTCAATATGAATGACTTTGAAAATATTAAGTAATGTCATGGAAATTGTGGGAACCAGCAATTCTCTAATACCAATAAAGATAAAACAGCAAAAATGTGGTCTAAATTATATAAAATATATTTGCTGAGATATTAAAGTTTCCTTAGAGAATTTATAAGAAAAGAATTCATGAGAAAAGATAGGATTCTAGTTCAGAAAAGTATCAAGAATGTGGTTTTTTTTTTGCCTTGGATTAGAGGACACATCTAACAAATCCTTTCTGGCACTGAGTTTGAGATGTCTTCCACTTGTAAACCAAGCATCTTTCAAAAGTACCTTTGTAAGTCTATATAGTATATATGTATTCATACATTTTGCAATAAGTTTAATCTCTCATAAAGCAGAAACTTTCAAACTATTAGTCTAATAGTTCTTATATAGTTACACATATCTTTATATAATACGCTCACAGCCTTTGATATGAAAAGATTAATTATTACAAGACTACTTTACTTTGTTATTTACTGTTCAAATTCACAAAATAAGTGACTGAAAATTGCGGAATTTTCTCAGGTGTTAGAACTGTATGTACAATTTTCCACTTTTTTGTAATGGATTTACATCACAGTTCTAAACTTATATTTGAGTCATATGTCTGTCCCAGGAACACTTTATTACTGCCATTTCTTCTAATTGCCCAATTCTTCAAATCTTTTTGAATTCTAAAGCTAAGTCTTCTTGTAATTAAAACCCTTTTCACCACTCATCATTCTAGTTTAATGCCTGTCACCAAACTCTACATAAATTACTTCAGGCAAATAATACCATTTTATCTTAGTTCATTACATAACCTGCAGTATTACTTATATTTTAAAAAATATATCTCCAATTTAATTAGAGTGATCAACCTGGGGTTATATCTTTGATTTTTGGGTCAAGCCCAGTGGTGTTCAGGATGTACTCCTGATTCTGTACTCAGGGTTTACCCCTGGTAGCTCTGGGGACCCTATGGAATATCAGGAATTAAACCCAGGTATGCTGCATGCAAGACAAGTGCTCTACATGATGTACTATAGCCCTAGCTCCATGTGGTTGCTTCTTACAAGATGAACTGAGCAATCTATCAATTTAATACAAGTTCTAAAAGCTGAACTATGATAGGGAATACAGGACAATTTGTTAGTTCAATATACCATCTGTCTTTGGTTGTTTTTTGTTTTGTTTTGATTTTTGATTTTTTTGCTTTTTAGGTCAAACCTGGCGATGCACAGGGGTTACTCCTGGCTCTGCATTCAGGAATTACTCCTGGTGGTGCTTAGGAGACCGTATGGGATGCTGAATATCGTACCCAAGTCAGCCAGATGCAAGGCAAATGCCTTACCTGCTGCACTATCACTCCAGCCCTGCTTCTGTCTGAAATTCATACAAGTTGCATGCTATCCATTTATTTAATAAACAATACAGTATTTTTACTTACTCATTGAAATGCTCAGTGAAGATCAAGTTGGTAGAAGTACCCGTGATGGTTGTTAGTCCACCGATGGTAGAAGAGTAAGCAATGCACAAGCACATGAGCTTACACATCATGTGGTCCTTCTTTGTTCGATATTTAGTCCCTGTGCCTAAGTTCTAGTAAACAGAAAAGTTGCTATGAGACCAACCCTTTATATATCTATTAAAAGCAGCAAAATATTTATTATGGACTAAATAATCTGTGTCCTTCCAATTTCATATACTGAAACTTTTAAAACTGGAATTTCTTAAAACTTTGTCATAGGCTTCTGTACAGTCTTACTCTAATATTTCTTCGCAGGACTGCTTGCATGTTTTTATTGATTTTGTAAATATGCATGTACCAGACCACAAAATCCTATCTTTAGCTCCAATTTTCATATATACATAAAAATATGAAAGTTTTATATGTGAATATATAATTTAAGATTTAATATAATTTAAATGTATTAAATAAAGTTCTAGTTTCCAAATTTTTAAAACCAAATTCATTATTTCCTCCACTCTAATTTAGTTCTTTTTTCAGGATCCTGTACTGTCGTGCATCACTTAATGGCTGGTATAGGTTATAAAAAATGTTTCAGTAGGTAATTTTGTGATTGTGTCATAAATGTGCACAAATGTAGACAAGTAGTCCCTTATAGATCTTTGCTATATGGTATGGACTTTTGGAACCAACACTGTATATCTGATCCCTCAATGACCAAAGCACTGCTTAGTGATGAATTACTATATAAGTTAATAGCATTGCCATCACTATAATTATAAACACTTCCATCACTGTCACTGTCCTCCCATTGTTCATTGATTTGCTCGTGAGGGCCCAGTAACATCTCCATCGTGAGACTTGTTGATACTGTGTTTGGCATATTGAATACGTCACGGGTAGCTTGCCAGGCTTTGCTGCACGGGTGAGATACTCTTGGTAGCTTGCCGGGCTCTCCGAGAGGGGCAAAAGAATCGAACCAGGCTCTGCCAGGCCCACTGCGCACAAGGCAAATGCCCTACCGCTGTGCTATCTCTCCAGCCCCATAAACACTTAGATATATAAACACTTAGAGAGTGCTTAATATACATCACACATGATGTGTTTGGAGTAAATATTTTCAAAATGATGTAATTCTTGTTCTTACAATAAAATGTAGTTAGTATTGCAATTATTTCACTTTACATACTGGACATGACACTCAGCTAGGATGAACAGCTAGCCCAATATCATGTAATCTAGAAATCGCTGAGTTAGACTTGAAACCATGTAGTCTTACTTTGGAGCTCAGATTCTCAGTCGCTATACTATAGTGTAGTTGTTTGTCCACCTTATAAGCCTTTCCTTATCATACCTGATCTATGGAAATATCTGGACTCTGCTCAGTTTTCTCCATCTTCACTGTTATCATCTTGGTGAAAGTCAGAATTAGCTCTGACCTGGGTTACTATAATAGTGTCCTTATGTGTCTCTGCAGGCCAACTTTTACCTACTTCAGATATACTTCAATCTAAAAGTATTGAACTAAGCAGGCAAAGAATTGTTCATTGTTCCACACAGATAAGCATGCTCTTCTTGACAGTGTCAGCTAAAGATCTTTTTTTGAGAAATAGTGATAAGGATAAAAGTTCTATTCACTAAAAAACATCATGGATATGGCATTTAGAATGGCAGGATCAAGTACGTTTATCTGAAATGGGCCTCTTACTTTCTAATTAACTTAAAGGTTATCCCCAGGGGCATCAATTATTCACCTCATGTTAATTAAAGTACTGATGTCTCTTTTTGTCTTATATTTCCTCTTTAGGAATATTTTTTCATATAATAAATTTTCCCTAAGCATCTAAAACAATAAATGCTATGTTAATAAAATAGCAAAATAAGTTTGAAAGTTCTTATGAGTTTTAAAAGGAACAATAGAAATTGGGGCTTACATATTAACTATTTTAATGTAGAAAAGATTCGAAGCAAGAACATGATGTTTTATTTAAGTTTTATCAAATTTATAATAAAGGATTTAAGGCACAATAAATGCAATGTTTATTATCATATTATAACTACAAAAATGTTTCATGCAAAAGTTTTACTGAGGATATATCTAAAAACAAGTATATCCAAAATGATGAAAAAATGCAAGTGTCTATCAAGACAAAAGATTAAAAATCAAATGAAATATAAAAATATTTGCCATGCTATAAACCTTATATATTTTCCAGATTTTTTTCCTAAAACTTAAAAAATGTACAGCTACTACACAAAAGGTGATGTCTATGTAGTTGTAACAATTTTGCCATAAATTGAAAATTCCATGCAAATTTAAATGTTCCAGTAAAGAGCAACACAAATAAACCAGGGTTTAATGGAGGTATATAGGAAGTGGGATGGAGTTCATGTGTATTAAGTAAGCATTAGACCAAATACTCAACTTATTAACATTGTTGCTCAGGGCATATGGATCCTGAGCTGAACTCACTCAAGAAATGATGCAAAAGTAAGGGGTAAAGACTGAGCTATAGCACAACAGGTAGAGGGCATTTGCCTTGCATGTGGCCGACCCAAGTTCGATTCCCAGCATCCCATATGGTCCCCAGAGCACTGCTAGGGATAATTCCTGAGTGCAAAACCTGTGCATTGCAGGGTGTGACCCAAAAAGAAAAAAAATGATGTTATGAAGAACTTTAGTAGAGGGCAAAGAGCAAAGATTTTGAGCTCTTAAAAAGCCTGAAAGAGTCACTGATTAAGCCAGTCATTGCTACAGAAACTGCACAGAGAGAGGGAGGGTCGTCGGCCGATTAGTCTTCTGCTCAAAATAGTCATTTCTACTCAAGGTTTGATTCTAACCTGAGAAGGCATTGAAACAGCCATCAGACACAGACATTCACATGGGGAGGTGAGCATGTTTTCAGAAAGGTTTCAGAGAAACAGAACAATTCTAACAGATAAACCTGAGAGAGTAAAACAACTGAAAAGACGAGGCTGTGAACAGTCAGGTTATGGAGAGCCTTGTAAGGTGAGAACAGAGTTATCAAATTGCCAATATTGAAAATGGAAAAATGTTTGTTTATATTTCATGACTAGAGACTTTTATAAAATTAAATGTATAGAACAATATAGTTAACAAAAATAAAACCCATACACATAAGGGTAAGACAAAAGTAAAATGTGTTAAAATTATTAATATGGGATAGTGAGGTACCTTCTGCCTTCTTGTATGAATTTCTTCAGAAGAGTAGAGAGTCCAAAATATGACATAGCTGGCCACTGTAAAATTGGAACCAGAATCCTTGCCTTTGATTTTTTCTCTCAGTAATGTCCATTGAACTAACCTGTCTTCTAGAACACTGCTTATGTGAGTTTTTAAAACTGATATCTAAGACTTTCCATTTCATTAAATTTTTTCTCATGCTGCTTTCACTACAGCAATTGTAAGCTATTACATCTTCATTCAATCTCAAGGCTGTCATGTGTTCATTATTTCAGCCAAAAACTAAACTAAACAAACACTGAACAGTGGTAGCACTGTAGCACTGTCCTCCCATTGCTCATCGATTTGCTCGAGCAGGCACCAGTAACGTGTCCACTGTGAGACTTGTTACTGTTTGTGGCATGTCGAACACTCCAAGGGGAGCTTGCCAGGCCAGAGGTTGTACAGTGGGTTGGGCACTTGCCTTGCACTCAGCTGACCAGGGTTCAATTCCCAGCACGTCATATGCCCTTCCCTCCAGCTCTGCCAGGCGTGAACCCAGAGTTCAGAGCCAGAGTAAGTCACAAGCACAACGGATGTGGCCCCAAAACAATGAAACAAAAAAAGGAGTCTTGCTTATTCAGATAAAACTTACTATTGCCACCTGGTGGTAATTATTGTAAATCCTTAAGGCATGTTACAGTTTCAAACCTAGGGTGCTAAAATGAATTAGTGCCAGCTAAACCAGTGGTCTCCACAGGACTATACAAAGTAATTTGTTGGGTAGGTGTGTTATAAAAGTCCTATATTTCAATACTCATGAAAAGTTAATTGCACAAAATGGGTCATGCTATTTTTTTTTGGCTTGCCAATGACAGTTAAAAAAAACTTCTTGTTCTTTTTGGTATTTGCACTTACATTAATAATATTCAGATGGAACCATATTTGCATTTTTAGGTATTGCAATGTTACTTCCACTATGTTAGATGATAATCTATCTTTTTATCTTCATCCATTGAACTTTTAAATACTTTTTTAACTCTCCATCATCTGCACAATATATTGTAATTTTGTTTAGAGCAGAAATCAGTGTCCAGAATGTTGCCCAGAGACCCATTAATAGTTGATCAATAGGCTGTATATTACATTCCCTGTTTTGTATTACTCACCAGCTCCTCTGCCTGGGTTGTGAATATTTATAAGCACTCCTTATTTGCTTAGTTTGCTAAGAACGTATCACAAGATCAATTCCAAATATTATGTGCTTGTTTAACTCTTTCCTCAGAGGATTCAAATATAGCATATCCTATCAACATCAAATAGGTTACTGATTTCATTGCTTGGGAGACATCTTTTCCATGACCACCCTATCTGTTCTAAATCTAAATCTGCAAAAAGCTATCTCGATTTTCATTTACCCTCTCAATTCACTGATAGAGTGAATGGATTTTGACTGTAGATGGGGGAAAATGTGAATCAGAATTCTGAACACATATTTTCTATGTCTCTGAGTTTCTGATTTTGAAGGAAACCATCAGACATTCATGTTATCTTTTAAAGGAAACCATTCTTTTGGAAACTCTTGGGATTCTTTTTCATTCAGGGTATTCTGAAATTTCAATGACTTTACCTATGTGAGTCTATTGCATCTATTTCTGGTACACAAAGAGACTTTTAGTCACAAAAAGTATTTTACCATTATGAAAATTTTCTTGAATTTTTTTATTTAGTTCCCCTATTAGTTTTCTGAAATGTCTATGATTTCTTCTCTTGTCCTATTTTTCCTACTAAATTTTCTGTGTATATATTTTCATATAATTATTTTACATTATATTTATATATTTTATCTTCTTGTTCCTCTTTCACAGAATGCAATTTATATTTCATGAGTGCAGTTTCTTTGTTTATCCCTCTGAATATATTAACGACAGTTTCTTTGCTTGTGCT